CATCACTCGTGTTGACGCCGACGACCAGTTTTCGCGTTTTCTGAGGTATCTATAGCCTCAATAGCACGCGACATTCCCGTACTTCGACCCCGACCGAAATGCGGTTGCCGCACTCACTGCGAGAGACGCAAGGTCTCCCGCTGCTCTCCTACGCACAGCTCTTTCGAGTGCTCCTCCGTCTCCTCCTCCACATCTCGGGGGCACTTTTGCCGCGTACATACCTCGGCGGAGCCACAACTTATCGGCGATAACCAACTGTCGCCGTAGTTGCTCGCGCAGTTACGCTCGATCCACCGTACCTATGGGCGTCACAAGTAGGTATGTGCTCGTCTGAGCACACAGTCAGGAAATTCCGCGATAAAGCTGACTTTTGTTTTCGGCGAAGAATGCACATCTCGAAGTTGAGGGCCTGAGTTCTTATAACCTGTCATCACCGAATTTCCACTGCGTGCAGTCTTCAACTTCACATTCCGTGTCTGAGTTAGGAATAATGGCAGTCCTTCTTCGGGTTAGTCTCGTCTATGTACTCTTTTTTGCCGTTTTATTTCGGAATATGCAGCTATCACTTTGCTGCAGTGTAGAGGGCAGAGAGAGAGAGAGAGAAAAGGAAGGCCGTCAGGTTAATCAGATATTGGCATCCAATTCGCTACCCAGTACTAGGGGTAGGTAAACAAAGGCAAGAAAGAAGGTGCAGAGGAAGAGAGAGAGAAAAAAAGGAGAAAGAAAAAGCGCACGTGCACTCGGGCGAAAACAAAAGAACACACGCAGGAACAGAGTCCTTGCTACAACCATTCAGGAAGGCTAGTCGACCGCAAAAAGTACAGCATAGCGCTCACAGGGCCTTCTTCTGTGACGTTGAATCCTGGCGATATTGTAGAGTAACTTCCTCCGGTAAAGCTTGATTATCTGTATTTGCTTGGTATAAGTACCAGCCAAACCTATGTCGACGCAATCCGCCTTAGTCTTAGGATTGAATTACGCTCGCCAGAGGGACAAATGCACACGTCTTTTGCCCCCGTGCGCAAGTATCTAATCGGCTTTAGCAGTTGACCCCACCTCATATGCTGAAGCGGCACGGCCACCATTTTCGGAGCCATTGTTACCAGAGCTACAGTGTTTGGAGTTCATTGCACCAGAAATGTGCCCATTAACAAGTATTCCCCGGAGGTGCATAGCCAGGCGGGGGTCCACTCAAGCGTGTAAGCAATTATGTGCCAAAATCATGTGGATGAAAGTTGCACGATCCAACAGTGGATATAGCTCGCCCCTGTCAAGATGATACCTTCTCGCGCGCTTGCGAATCGAACCCGTGGCTCAATATGGGAGTTGACTTCATAGCGGCCTCACCATCTTTACTGTTAAGCCAAAGCAAATGACGGTGATTAAAAATGAATATATTACAACGAAAACTGTTATGAGATCACAAGGGTCACGTGCGTCGTAGCTGTCCGCCGCCGCCACCGGAGTCCGTAACCACGATCGCGGAAAATGAACAAAAAACTAAGTAAATAAAGAACACCAAGGACACAATGAGGTTCGAACCCGGGTTTCTTGCCTGGAGGCTCAATATTCTCCGACTGAGCTGCATCGGTGCAAACTGACGCTATAGACAGGCTTCATGTCGGGAAAGATCGCATTAGGGTGTCTAATAAAACGCTTTACAACAGCGAACGAACAGTCAGGCGTCAGATAATGAGAATTGCGCAACAGGTGAGTAGTCGAATGTACAACCCATTGAAACAGCGAAAGGCCTATTTCTTCGTCGTTGCCAGCATAAAAAATGCACAAAACTGTTTGAAAAAGCTTAGAGGGTACCACACATCTACAAAGAATGACGAAATATGGCATGGTAAATGCCTCCCTACTACACACATATCACGACGATTTATGGCGTATTGAGTACCTTGTAAGTGTGCTTGTAGCAGTTACCCAAATAGTGTTTAAAAAGAGTTCTGAAAAGCCGCTATTATAGCTTTCGCTGCGAATGTGCTGCGCATCCCGTGCAGGCCTGGCACTTTTTCGACTACTTCGGTGATCGCCCTTCCCAATCTACGTCCTATAGAGCTGTATTCGGCCCATAGAGTCGTCATTCATTCATTCATTCATTCATTCATTCATTCATTCATTCATTCATTTATTCATTCATTCATTCGAAAACTGGTGGTTATGTTCACTCCTTAAAGCGATAGAACGGCAGATAGTCGGATTGACGCGGACGGGCGGGCGGATCAAACTCTCTCTTTGAAGGTGTTGAGATTTTCAAGTGTCTGACGCGCGATTCTTGCCAACTGGACAAAGCCAGAGTACGCATTCTTGGTGCTTCTCAAAAATGAATTGAAACTGAGAAGACTCTAGGGAAATATTTATGAGGCTAAAATATATTCACTGCACACACACGCCCTGAGCTGACGCTTAAAAAACTAAAAAAAAGAAAACTATCACGTTCGACATTTTTTCAGGTGCGTCTGATAGTTGATATGTGGGGTTTAACGTCCCAAAACCACCATATGATTATGAGAGACGCCGTAGTGGAGGGCTCCGGAAATTTCGACCACCTGGGGTTCTTTAACGTGCACCCGAATCTGAGCACACGGGCCTAAAACATTTCCACCTCCATCGGAAATGCAGCCGCCGCAGCTGGGATTCGATCCCGCGACCTGATGGTCAGTAGCGAGTACCTTAGCCACTAGACCACCGCGGTGGGGCTTCTAGGTGCGTCTACCTGACAGCTTATTAGGCCCTGTCATACTTTTTCCTGCGCCGAGTGTTCCCTTACTCTTTTCATTTACCCACATTCCTCTATTTTCCTACCACCTGCGTGTGTTGGCAAATCGAGCACCTGTGATACTGCGGGAGTCATCGATGGCCCGAAGACGACTGGCCTTTTCCATTCCCTGATCGTACACTGCTGTATACGTTACTGTCAGTCAGGACAGCGCCGCTTCACAGCATTAGTAGTTGTTGCATTGGACCAGCTAGCCGCTCACCACAACAAGCAGTTTATATGCATCTTCACCACTCACATCAACCTCCCTGTCTTTTTCGTGTGTGCTTTCTCTCTCACAGCGTATTTGACGTTTCCATTTGCCATTGAATATGCCTCAGCGCGATTTAGGCGAAGGCCATTGGAGGCACACACAGCACTCGTCTGTGATTTATGTGTCTCCTATAGTTTTCGTCTAAATCCCGCTGAGGCCTATTCAATGACGTACCAACTCGCCCAAGTCCTAATGTTCTTAGAACCAATTTATCAACTGCTGCAAACAAAACCTCTGCGTCACACTACTGTTCTAAATAAACCAAACAAGCAGCTAAGCTACTGTTTCAAACCCAAGCACTGCGAATATTGATCTTTAATTTCAACATAATCATGGCACGCTGTCATTTTCTCTTTCCTCTGTGCAAGTTTGGATCACCTTATATGATTCCCTATGGTCACACGAGTGCTTCCGAAATCGTGGTGCAAGGTGAGGTCGTTCTCCTACATAGAGCGGGACATTGAAAGGCCTACGACTAATTCTCTTATATCGCTTCTTGAAGATAACAATACCTGGAAGAGAAAAATAAAGCGCGTGATGGGCGGTGTATTCTTCTGTCCGATTGCATTGCCACTCAGGATAACGCTAGCGCTTTCGTTTTTATCTTTCGATTGTCTGTGTGGTGGCAATCTGAAGTGTACACGAGTACGCGGTTTAAGATTAAGGAGACGCGACCTTCCTCGCAGTTGCCGTGACCAAACAACGCTCCATGTTAGAAATTAACTCTGCACATTTATTCTTTGCGCTATATATACATACGCTCATTTCTCGTATTCACTATTGGATAATGTACAGGTATATAATGCTTAAGTCGCCGTAATTTATTTTGTCTGTGCCATGAATCAAACCATTTCTTGCTGTCTTAGATCATTACAGTAGTAGCCAGCATCCGCGGGTTGACTATAACTGGACTTCCGTTCCATCTTCGTTAATTAGACGTACAAAGACGTATTGTTCGCGTTGCCCCTGTGCCTCGCAAATGCATTATTAAACTCGCGCTCACCGGCAACGCTGAGGCTTTCGTCGAGCTAACACATGTGCTGACAGTTGAAATATATTACTCCAAGTGCAGGAGAGAACAGTCTGGTATTCAGCGAATGACGGCCTCTCAAGGTTCGGTATTGCTGGTAAAAATAGGAAGCAATGACACGGCATAAAAGTAGATCACATCTCTCTTAATCCCCTGAATTCAGTTATGCGCGTGCTTGTAATTGAACTCACCGGATTAGTAAATCCTATTCGGTGACATTTGCCTGTATGCTTGTCTCAAGATATAATACAGACGTTTAGTATTCTCCAAGGAACGAGGGCACTCAACACATTTCACATTCTGTACGCGGTGAGAACTGAGACAGTGCGATAGAGTCGTATGCGTTCAGCTTCGTTCCATTTGATCATGTTCGAGACGCGTTTCGAATCCCTAATCTCACAGTTCTTGAAGCGACGCACGTCTCTGTCCACCGCTGATCGGAAAGCTAATTCCCAGGGACGCACGAGTGTCACCTCGGACGCACGTGTCTTCTCTAAGGGCGACCATAAGAGATGCTTGTTTTCCTTTTGGCACCTCTCTGGCGCGGCTGGATATCATGCGCTCGTAGGAAACTCGTTCTGCGCAAATATACCCGGTGACGCAAGCGGTACGTGGCCGGCGCCTACAACGAAGTCGCTCGCACTACCTTGACAGCGTTTTCCCCACCGATGCCGCCGGGACGCCGGCACAGATGTAAAGAAAAAAAAGCGAAACTCAGGGGCGTCCCAATGCGTTTCTCTCGATAACCCGCGCTCAACTCTCCTTTTTGTTTTGTTTTTTTTTTTCTAGAAAGTTGTGCAAACCTGTCAATCGCCGATTCGGTACATTTGGAACAAATAGAAGGTAGGCTCTGCTGTCTGGGCGACTTGTACTTTGTTTTTTGGCCAGCAGGGTGCTCCGGAACGGAGGATGCAACACGTGCTCTCACTCACCCCTTTGCTGCGGGCGAACGGAGGTTCGGGCAGCCTGCGGGCCGTCCTCGTCGTCAGCGTCGTGGTGTCGCTGGCCACGTTGTCGTCGTCCGGGAACACGATGGGCAGGTCTTCGGTCCTGTTGCGCACGATACCGCTCGCGACGGGCCACAGCGGGCCGCACAGGTGCAGCACCAGCAGCGCGACGAACGAGGCAACGACGGCGCCCTTCATCGTGCTTTAGCGGAGACGAAGCGGCGCGGACCGAGGAGCGGCGTCCTGGTCGCCTCTGCTGACGTTCGTGAGTCCGGGTTGGTCAAGTCGCCGCCGCCGTCTACGCTGCCACCGTCGACGTCGAGACCCCGCACTGCCGCTGTTGTTTTGTCGACGACGGTCGTGATGCGGCGCGCGTTGTCCGTGACGGTGCCGGTATTCGACGACGACACCTAATCGGAAGCGTCCGAGCAGGCGACATGCACGCATGGCTTGGATGGCAATCGCGCGCACACACACGCACAGACACCCGCCCCCTTTTAGTCCGCACACGACGACCGAAGGTGTTGGGTACGCCACGGCCGAGCGGCTATGCTCCTCGAAAGTGCGCGCGCGAGAAGAGCGGAGGGGAAGGAATATTGCGGAGAAAAAAAAAAAAGGCTCGGTTTTTCCTGTATCGAGATCCCCACGCGAGACAATTGCACGCACACGCCAACGCGTTCCACTCGCGTGCTGTTTCGGGGGGTGGCGCGCTATCTTGTGCTTATCATCCGACGGATGCACCTCCGGTGCTACCTGTCGTCGTCCTAAGGCGACAGTTCCGAGTTTGACGAGTCGACCGACGTGACGTTCAGGTGGCACACTCGTCGATCGCGTCAGGCCCTATCCGGACGTCAGACGTAGAGGTTCTCCTGTCGCCGCGAACGGATTGCCACAAGCATCTGGGCGCCGCAAAGACGCGCCACTTCTTTGGCGTGCGTCATTCCGGAGAGTAAGAGAGAAGAGTGAAGGCGATGGAAAGCTTTTTTGCAGGCGACGAATTCCTTCTTGCTCGAGCTGTGCGCAACCTTCGTACAGCCACCTTCACCTACATGCCCGCCCGTACGCTGCCATGCGGTGTGGTGCCTAGACCTTGCAGAGTCGTTATAGGCGCCACGACGGCTTCGTTAGCTGCCTCTCAGTTCTGCTTAGTTTGATGTCAAACGGCCAGCGAAAGAAGCCGGTCTGTGGCGTCGACGACAGCAACTTACTCATATTGGGCTTCCCCCATGCAAGTTAGTGTCCACTCGGGCGCTGGAGTCGTCACGAGCGCTCAATCTGAGGGGCAGGCTGTGGCATTATTTCCGGCTTCCACAGCGGTCACGTCTAGAGGGTACGGGTCTCACCGGTACCAAGACGACACAGTCCTTTTCGGATGCCCGGAGCACGAATTCACGCACGTTCCTTCAAAGCGTCTCGGCTTCATGCGAGTCTGCAGACATTTCCTGTTTTGACGCCTCCGAAGGGTCAAGTACCTTGTTCCCGGTTGCGAGTCTGCCACGCAACCCTTACCACACGCGCTTCACATCAGCGCTGGCCGCCGGGAAAAAAAAAGTTCTAAAAATATCCGAGTTACAACCTTCGATGAAACGAGCAATGCCGCGGGAGATTGTTTCCGTGACTCAGGGGGAGGGCGTCAACGAAATCCCAGGGTTAACGACGGCCGTGAATCTTCCGCAGGCGATTGTCCCACGGAGCGAGCGGTCATTGACGACGCTCGTTGGGTCCCGCCGGCGCCCGGAAAACATCTCGTTACGCTCCCTACTCGAGCTCGTGCCGCTGCATAAGACTTCCGATCGAAGCGACGAGCGCCGGGTCTCCGATGGTTACCTGGGGCAACCGAATACGCGTCGGACACCCTCGCCACTATGCGGCCCGTTTGACTTTCCTCTTTCCCCGCATCTTGTTCGTTTTTTTTTTTTTTTTTCCAATGCTCAACACTTACGGCGACAGTGGGCGGTGGGTGAAAGGGGACGAGGGGTCGAGAGGAGGAAGGAAAACGAAACAGCCAGCGTAATAATGGAAACGACGCGTGCTGTCTGGCGGCGACCGGACCCGACCGCGTCACCTGTGGGTCATGTCGAGGGCGCCAGATGCGATGGGGGGGAGTCATGCACCGCAGCTTCCGGACAAGAACTACCTGATGCTCGGTCGATTGCGCGCCACGGCTTTGTGCCCCGCGCGAACTCCGCGTCGCTGACGGCCGGCAATTATACACGCTCGACGGGGCACTCATTCTCACACCCCCGTTTTACATCAAGGGAGGTCTGACTGTGTGTACCGTTCGTCCACGTGCCGAAGGAGAATGCAGCAGCAGCAGCAGCCACGTGGTCGTGACAGGACTTCGGAAAAGCTTCTCTATCGATAGTGCAATCTGTTTTCAAACTCGCCACGTGGACGCCTTTTCCTCTGGTTCTGTTAAATACATCGCTGAGTGAGACGATGTGTCGGCAGGTTTGCTTAACCGCGTTCGTCTTCCAGGTTTGCGCAGAGGGCACGTTTACAGCCGAGGCAGACAAAATTGCGATATTAGCCGCAAAATAACGAAGGTATAAAGCAGCGAAGATCAAGGCTCGCTATAAGCAGCGGACATAGATGCTTGTTTAATGGACGTCACTCTGCCGAGGACATTCGTTGTTTTCGCCTCGTTCAGTAGCACAGCCAAACATTTTGTTGCATAGACGTCGCTCGTGCACGTGTTTGTATGTTCTTCTTCTTATGTGATCTTTAAAGAGAAAAGAAGAGAAAAGTGAGCCCCGTAACTGTCTGCATCAGAGTGCGACACTTCAACAGTAGCTCACTAGGGATGGGGGTAAGGAGGGATTAAAAGGTATATATAGAGAGAGAGGAAGGAGAGAGAGAGGTGCAGGGACAGCGAGGGACGTAAGTAGAGAGAAGATAGGAAAGATGGACACGGTCGCACGAGTCCGAGGACGGGGCACCACTCGGCGAGAGCTCTTGTCGGCGTTAGGAGATGGCGTAGGGGGAGCCCAGTCGGCCAGAGCTGCGCTGTCGTCGGAGATCGCGGGGGCACAACCGGTCGGCACGAAATCCAGCGAGCGAGTCAAGTGTTTGTATGTGTGTGCGGCGTATATATATAGACCCTTTCACTGTTTACAAAAACAGCCCCTGTTCAGAAAAAAATTATTTACAGCATGTACAGAACACAAAGGCTTCATACCATTCCAGTAACAGGGCACATACACTTCGGCACATGACATCCGGTTTCACTCACCGATGTGCCGAAATAGAATTGGTGGGGAAGAAGAGCTTTTAAAAATAAATAGCCCACTGATTTTCTACACTTTCTTCACTTTAATTGGCAAAATATATTCAAATAATTGTGTTTTTAGCTACATAAAAACTACAGGAGAATCTCTAGAACTTTAAGCACGTTCCTTTTATATCAAAAACTAAAGACAGACATTTCTTCTATTTAAAAAGAACTTGAAGACGTGCTCTCAGTTTCAACGTTAGGAGCCGGTAAATGAGCTGACTGGAAGTTTTCTTGGGTACAACGCTTGTGACCTTGAAACCGTCTATACACATGCCAAATAAAATAATTCAGGTATTTACCCCCACCCCCCCTACTTCCGGCTTTGACAGTGGTCGCCTCCTTTCGGATTGAAATGTGGGTATTCGCTTACGCATTTTTACGCGTAGAATACGCATTGACGCGGTCAACAGGTGCCCGCGCAAGACAGATACGCATCGTCATAGCATATACGTGCGCAGATTTTTGTATTCTTTTTTTTTGTGTGTGTGTGTGGGGTGGGGGGTCCCAATATGATGGAGAAGGGGAGGGAGCAAGCTTTATAGTAGTGCCCCGCCATCCTTCCCCCGGTTGAATTAAAAAAACTACATGCTTCACAATGGATGAAAAAAATGAAAAAAATGAAATGAAGCAATAGCATGCCACTCACAGTGGCCTGCCTTTGGCCCTTGCCTTTCCGCGAATAAAGACGAGACGTAAACAGTTCGTGGTATGCAACGTCGGCTACACTCGACTGTCATTACCGTCAAACACCACTTTCGTGGCCATTATTCTGCTCTTTATATAATGACAAGACAGTTCCAAGACCTTGCCCCCCCCCCCCCCGCGCTCTTGTTTCTGTGCGCACGCCCATGTGCATTGTGGAAAAACAGAGCCTGCTTGCTCGTTTTTCTTCGAATGAAGCAGTACACTAGGTTGCCTATGTTATGTTCCGCGCGCAAAATGCCGTCGCCAATGTTCTCCGGATAGGGGCTCATACTGGAAGCCGAATGACACTGATACGAAAGGCCGATATGGGATGGAAGCTCGACGTGTGGACAAAACTCACGAGCTTTGGTCTGCGCGGTTCACCACTTTTCTTTTTTTTTCTTTTGGTTGCGCGCAGCAGTACAGTGAAGCCGATGAAGGTCTTCGCAGACCGTTTTATCATATTTATCGAAAGTGATGCATCACGTAACCTCGAAAATTACCGCAGGAAGCTAAGCTTTAAGCACCTAGTCTTCGCTCCACCAATGTATTAATATGTAAACCACATCCACATCTTGAGGGCTTTGAAGTGAGACGGACGTGGCGTCTTGAGTTGATATGCATATACTTCTATGAAAGCACTGGCGTTGTCAAATGGAAACCGAATAGCAGCCAGTCTGTGGTGATACACAACGTGAAGGCGGGCGCAACAATTACGAATGCTTGCCTATGCTCAGGTTCGATTTCAGCCCATAGTACATACACACACAACCCAGAAAAAAGATAACAGCTAAAAAAAATAGGACAGCAATTGTTTGCTCATGGCTTCTTCGCTTTCGTTATGAACGATGACGAATGGGGCGAAGTGGACGGACGGACGCACTGAAGGACGGGCTGATGATCGTTTCGCCCCATGCGCTCATCATCATTCACTCCGTGGATATGCTGTGACACCCATTTTTATTTACATGCACTGCAGTTAAACTGGCTACTATGCCGAATACGATGACGCGGGACGTACGACACACGGAGTAAGGGGATTCGCCCTTAAAAAAAAAAAAAGATAGTAATCAGTAAGTAAACGCCTGTATTTATTTGTGCCCAGCGTATTTTACTACTTTCGCGGCATACCTTTACTAGCCAGCAGCTAGTGCAGCTTGTAACCTTTGCCCTTATAGTAGCCAGGGAAGCTTTCTTAGCGTTTCTAACCAAGTAATACTATACTAAGCGACCTACCTGCCAGATATTCCGTATATGTCTCAGTATATTTTGCTGTAATGGTGACACTCGTAAGCAAAATTTAGGCAAGCTTTAATTTTATTGACTATCCTCGGATGGAAGTTTAGTGCTACGTGAT